TAGCATGAATCAAGTACCAAAACATACTAGTAATGAATGTGTTATTCACCAATCTACAGTCTTAAAAAAACACACACCAGTTTCACTTAAATATCTTTTTTTTTAAATATATATTTTATTGATTTTTATACAGAGAGAAAGGGAGAGAGATAGAGAGTTAGAAACATCGATGAGAGAGAGTCATCGATCAGCTGCCTCTTGCACACCCCTACTGGGGATATGCCCGCAACCAAGGTACATGCCCTTGACCGGAATCGAACCCGGGACCTTTCAGTCCCCAAGCCGACGCTCTATCCATTGAGCCAAACCGGTCCCGGCCACTTAAATATCTTTGAAATAGTAAAAATTACCAATCTCCTTGATAGTTGGCATGGTGGGAACAAGTATTTTCAGTAACCTGACTTTTGGCATGTGGCAGTTGGGTGAATTAATTTAGCTAAAGGCACTAGTTGGTCAGATGTAAATAAAAAAAGCAGTTTCCTCTTTTGAACACTTTTCCATGTAAACTACTTTGAGGTGAAAACTGTTAAGTTAATTTGAGAAGCTGCTCACCTTGGGGAGAACAGTTAAATCAGAATTAAGAAGTTTCATAACAGAAATTTTGTGTATAAATTCACTGAAGTGGCAAAGATCAATCATGATCTTTTAGAATTTTGTCAGATATGGGACAGATTGCATTTTTGTGTTTTTTGTTATTCAGATGTAGGAAATCCTTGTATATTCTGCATACTAATCCCAGACATGATTTGCAAATATTTCCCCCCATTCTGAGTTGTTTTTTTCACTTTCTTGATGGTATGGTGTCCTTAGATGCACAAAAGTTTTTAATTGTTGAAGTACACTTTATCTCTTTGTTGTTGCTGTTGCTTTTGATGGCATATCTAACAATCCCTTGCCAAATTTGAGGTTATGCAGATTTATCCTAGTTTACTACTAAAATTTTACAGTTTTAGCCTCTACCTTTAGGCCTTATCCATTTGAGTTAATTTTTATAAGACATATCCCTAATGGGTCAGAACTGATAATATTAAAAGTATTATAGCTATTTCCAAAGCAACTGTATTTTAAATAGTGTTTCTTTTGAGAAGTCATGTATAGTGTCTTTGTGAAATAGGGTATAGTTTTGAAATTCTGTCCTTATTTTTATGTTACGTAGTTTCCTTTTTCATTTATCAACAACTTCGTTGAAAGGAGAAAGTGGAGAAGGCATAAATTGACTGACATTACTATATTGCCCTAAAGCTTCAAGAAGACATACTGCAGAAAAATATATTTTTCATTCATTTGTTTTTATCTCCTGAAATTAGTTGCCTGTGTCTTCTTTAAAGCAGTAGGCGAAATGAGTTTGTACTTTCACTTTCCCTTTCACTGAGGCAATGATAACTTGAGGCTGTCACTTTAAGAATATTGCTTATGCTGAGCGTTGGCATAATAGCTTTTCTTGTAGTGGAGCGGGGCAAAGTTTAGGACATTCAGCTGGGAGTTGTAAATGGAGCATAAGTGTTTTAGCGAGTTGGAGGAAGATTACTCTGGACTTTCACTACTTGCTTTCTCACTTGTCAAAATCTACGTTTCGAGGAGTTACTGACTGCGAGTCAAACCCAAGGTCAGTTATGATTGCCATCGCTCGAAAACTCTCCTCAGGAGAGTTTATCATTCATGAAATTTCAGTAAACATTTGTGCTTAAAAAAAAAAAAATTGGTCCTTTCTTTCCTTCATGGTATAACTAGGAAACATTCAGATCCTTACGTAATCTCCCCAGAGATCCTGGGTTTCTCTGATGAAATTTAGTTGCTGAATTTTTCTGTCAGTCTAATTGACATTTAATGTGTAGTGTATATAGTGAGTACTTTAATAATCCACTTAAAGTCTATTGTACTTTCATTCTCTTTAAACTTCAAATTTTATTGAATTCTGAAAGTTGTCTTGTTAATTTTTTTAGAAAAAGTGTGTAGAATTAGAATTTTTTTGCATTCATATTTCTAGTTAGTTTTAATTCAGTTATTACATACTATCTAATCTTGTTAAAGATTTTCCTTATATTTTCTAATGATATGTAATTCAGCAATTTGAACCAGAAGTGTCAAGTGGTTGTGCTATTGTATTTCAGTCATGAGGTTTTAGAAATAAAAATGTGTTTTGGAGCACAGCACATGCATATTACACTGCTCATTGATTGAATTCTAAGTGGTGCGGTGAGAAGCTATTTATTTGTTACCCTGAGCTCTAAGGGAAATAAGTGTCCAGTGATGTATGCTTGAGATACAGAGGCTGGTGAGAGCTGGTAATAAGCTTAAGGGTTGGCAGAATTAGGAGGAAATATGCTGTAGTCTAAGAACTCTACATGCGTATACATTCTTTGATTTGACCTGTGTTTGGAGAAAATGCCTAGCAGTGCCTATTTCATATGATTTATGTGGATTTTTTAAGTGGAAAAGGTGATAACCAGCCAAGTTGCAAAATGACTATAATATTATTATTTTAAAATTAAAATATAACTCATATATAATTTACAGTATTCAATTGTATAATTCAGTTATTTTATCGTACTTACGAAGATGTGCAGCCATAACCACTAAGATTAAAGGAGAAAATTGCTCTGTAATAGTGAGTAGTCATTTGCCATTGGGAAGATGATTCAACTTGGGCCAAGAATTTGGGACTTTTCAGTTTTAGAGCCACACCCCATTGATTCTATTATGAGATGAAATACTATTTTAGTTTTGTCTTATACACAGGGTAACCATATTTTGATCAGTTTTTTTTTTTTTTTTTTTCGTATAGTATAAGTATTCTGCCCTTGTATACACTGATGTAATAGAAGAGCACAGTCTTGAGAATACAGGGAAACCTGGCCTGGTACTTAGCCTTGTTAACTTGGGTAACTTACTTCATCTTGCTGAACCTCATTTTACCAGAGTACTATAGAATAAGTCAGTAAAGATAACCTAGTTGGTTATGTTGTGGTACACTTTACATTCAGATCTTCTGACTTCTATTTTTAGTTTTCTTTTTATAGGACTATGTTTTTATTTTAAAATAATTATTTTTATCTAAATGTTCTTTCAAGAAACAGTTCATTTATCAGTCCCACACAATATTCTGTTGGTCGTTTTCAGAGAATGAAGCAAATGAAATCAATGTTCTTTATTTGTTGCCAAGGAAAAAGAATGTTTGTTAACTGGATTATTGGCCAAATACATGATTGTCTCTAGAAATCTTACAATTAAATATTGTTTGCCAATAAAGTAACTAATAGTAATCAAAAGCCCTAACCTTCCCTTTTGAGGACATAGTACTGATAACTTATTTGAGAACTTTTTCTCACATAGTGAGAGAGCTTTAGCTAGAAAAAGCAGTAGCAGTTGGCTTTGCAGAAGAAAGAATAGCCTCATATTTTTTCATTATTTGTGTGACCACCATGCAGAACTATAACTCAAAGGAAGTTTTATTTCAGCCAAGGGTAATCTTATTTCTGAAATAGTTGATAAGGACTTGTATCCTGAAACTTGTTAGGTTTATGTTTCTGCATTGTAAACATATATATAGTTTGGATGAAGCAGTTTATTAATGACCTGCTTTAGCTTTGTTATTTCTCAATGTGGCATTTATATCAGTTCTTTATGCATGGGGGTGCATTGGCAGTGCATTGAATTGTTGTCTGAGGTGGCTAGTTTAAGAACTGTCGAGAGACTATTTAGGGTTATTAATTTTGAATGACTAAAGCATAGGATTTCATTTCATTTTGTTTTTTCTTTAACCTCAGTAAACTGTTGCTATTTAGATATAAAGAATTTCACGTTTAGTGATTCTTTCAGACTTCTGCAACTTGTGATCATTCATATAAAATTATCTGCAGCTGTCACTGTCTTTCAAGCTTGTTTCATTGAATTAGAAAGGAACATAGTGTGAGAAGTATTAGTGTGAGTAGTATTAAATATTAGTTACAATAAAGGAAGGATTCTCTCATTTTTGGGTTTACTGTATTTACATAGTCGTTCTTTTAAAAATACATTGAAATTAGTATGTAAATAATTTATATTTATTGCAGAAAAAGCACATTATATAATTATGTAATCCTGCCATCCAGAGATAATTGCTGTTAATCTTTTGTGCCAATCTTTGGTTGTCATTCTTTTAAAATATATATATGTATATTTTTTATTGATTTTTACAGAGAGGAAAAGAGAAGAATAGAGAGTTAGAAACATCGATGAAAGAGAAACATCGACCAGCTGCCTCCTGCACACCCCCCACTGGGGATGTGCCCGCAACCAAGGTACATCCCTTGACCGGAATCGAACCTGGGACCCTTCAGTCCTTAGGTCGATGCTCCATCCACTGAGCCAAACCGGTTAGGGTATGGTTGTCATTCTTAAAGAGTTAAAAAAAAAATCACCTTGCCAGATAGAAGAACCTATTACATTTTTCAAATTTCAGAGCTAAATAGAATGATAGTCTTTTGTCTTTTAACAGAATGTCTTGACAACATGCTGACACAATTTAAACTAAACTATGAAGGAGAGCTTCTTTTTAAAATGGTGGGTGGATATGAGGGAAAATAGCAGCTAAAATAGAAAAACAGGGAAACAGTTGTATTCTCTATTCCTTAGCGAAAAGATTGGGCCTTTGTCAGCAATTTCCTGGTTGATGAATTAGCCTTATCTTTCTGAATATCCTGCTTATATTTCCTAGTCTCTTTCTATGGAAAGGAAAGGTGGTAGATTTCACCAGAGGCCTAAAGTTTGGAGGCTTGTTGTGTAATTGTATTTGTTTTGAGTTTCCATGGAATGCTTTATCATGGGAATCACTTTTGGAGAGGTTTATCTAATTACATTAGGATATTTGAAATACTTTGTTTTCTAGTTTCTGTGGAGAATTAAGTGTATGATCCCTTGGTGACAAAGGTTGGGTCATTGACAGCATTTGGTGGTGGTAATTTTCTCTTACTGCTAACATGTCCACTTTTGAGGTCTCTTACCCTTAACTCGCTCTGTAGAATCCCTAGGGGACCTGGGCAGCAGCCCCTGGAGGACCGGATCTTCGCTCCCACGGTCTCGGCGGTGTACAGCACGGTGAGTGATTCACAACTGCTCATATTGTGTGTCTGTTTCCCCACGTGAGCCTTTGACACTACAGGCAATGCTTGTTTGATAGGCATTTGATAGATTTTTTTGGCAAAAGGTTCAATAAAATCCCAATTAGAATTAGATGTATATAATTTAATGCAGCGAATAGACCTTTCCCCATCTTAGTAATTTAAGAAGTGATTAAACAAAAATGATTAAGCTAGATTGGCTCATACATCTGTCTTTGTTAAAAAAATGTTTTTATTGATTTCAGAGAGGATGGGAGAGGGGGAGAGAGAGACAGAAACATCAGTGATGAGAGAGAATCATTGATTAGCTGCCTCCTCTATTTCCTCTACTGGGGATTCAGTCAGCATGTCCTATTAGGGAATCAAGCCGTGATCTCTTGGTTCATAGATCGTCTCTCTTCTTTTTTTTTTCTTTCATAAATATTTGCTTTTGGCCTTATATTGTGATTTCTTTTAGGACATTGTGAGGTTTAATTTTCTTTTTGGTTATCTTATCTTAAAATTACTTTTTTTTTTTTAAACACATTTTTAAATTTTACTTTTTCCCCTCTCTACATGTAAAAATTCAGAAAGTTTGGAAAAAAAACATGGGAAGGAGATTTAATTTATGTTAAATGATTGGTTCAGATTCATAAATTGAAGGGATTTAAAATTTGAGGATGAAGGTAATAGCATTAGATGCAGATTTCAGCTATCTAACAGTGAGCCTGAGAGAATTTGGGGGAGAATTGGGGAGGTAGACATATCTTTTAAATATTTTAGTTCATTGTACTGTTTATTCCTAGGAATATGACAGGGTGCTTTACAGAAACTCACAGTGTAGTGAGGAAGATGAGTAAATAAATAATTATAATCTTAAGGTTATATGATAAAGCAATGATTCTTATCTCTTTGGGCTATGAATTATTTTTAGAATTTGAAAATGGTTACAATACTTTTTCCTCAAAAAAGAACATGTACAATTTTTTACAATATAATTTTAGAATTTCACAGATATCCATCAGGTTAAGAATAGGATTAGATATGTGATTGTGCTATTATATGGTAAAGGAAGAAGTCACTTTGCTGTGGAAGTGACACTAAACTGGAAGGGACAGAACTATGCTTAACTCCTCATCTAAATAATGTTTACATATATTAATTTTTCTCAACAAAATCCCATTCCTCACCCAGTATTCATTTCTATAAATAGTACCACATTCTCTCCGTTGCTCAGTCCAAGATCCATGACATCATCCTTTGGTCTTCATTCTCTCACATCCCACACCCAAGATATCATATTCTACTTTCAAAATATAGATCACATCCATTACTCCTCTCTCTCACTGCTACCACTGTAGAGCAAGCCATTATCTTTTGCCTGTATTATTACAATAATTTCCTTAACTGGTCTCCTTGCTTCCACTTTACCACCACAAATACCCGCCCGCCCTAAACATAGTATACTCTTTCCATAGTAGCTACTTCCTTTTAAAGGGAAATTCAGATCTACTGCTCTTAAGTTTCCATTGGCTTCCTGTTACACCTAGATTAAAATCCAGAATCTTTACCATGGTCTGTAATGCTCCACATACTTCTTGGATTTCTGTCTCTAACCTTTCTATATTCTAGCCACTCTGGCTTCCTCGCAGTTCTAAGACCACATTCGGCATGCTGCTATCTCTGGGACTTTGCACTGCTCTTCTTTGTACCGGAAATGCTCTTTCTCTAGAAATCTGCAAGGCTCACTTCCTCACTTTTTAAGTTTCTACTTAAATGCTACTTTTCCAGAGAGCCCTAATTAAAATAGAATGTCCACTCATTTTCCATCCCTTTATTCTGCCTCATTTTCATCAAGGCACTTATTACTACCCACTAATTATATAGCTTATATATTTTTTTCCTATCATTTCTAGCTCACACAAAGGTAAGCTTTATGAGGACTGAAGGTTTGGATTGCTCACCATGTTACCAACACCTAGAATAATGCTTGACATGCATTAAAAACTTAAGAAATACCCGACAAATGTTGAGTGAATATTACATTCTAATAATAATGTACAACCAATTATTTGAGATGTTTCAAATAGCATAGATAAAGCTAATATTATAAAGTGAAAAAATTAGAATAAAATAGCTTATATAGAACTTTAAACACAGAAAAAAATAATACCAATAAGCCCTGGCAGGGTAGTGCAATTGTTTAGAGAATCATCCCAATATGCCAAGGTTTCGGTTCCGTCCCTGGTCAGGGAAGATACAAGATTAACCAATGAATGTTTGAATGAGTGGAGCATGAATTCTTCTCTCTGTCTGTCTGTCTCTCGCTTTCTCTCTCACAGTTAATAAATACACAAAAATCCTGAAATATGATAGTCTTCATTTTTTGATCAGTTTTTTTCATTCTTAATAATTTTAGTATCTGCTGCACCTTTACAATGTTATACACTTTAACTGAATGTAGAACAGTGGTTAACCAGGTGTTTTGACATTCTTAGTTCCCCTTTTTCTAAACCCCGAGATGATAAATTGACTAGAGGCCCAGTATATGAAATTTGTGCTTGGGTGAGGTCCCTAGGTCTGGCCGGCAATCATGGCCAATCAGAGTTGGGCTGATCGGGCCTGCCAGCTTGAGGGAAGGACAAAAGGTGAGGGACCCCAGGAAGTTGGCCACCGGCCCCAGGAGGGAGCCAGCCCTCGGCCCCCCTGGGAAAGGGACCCCTTTGCTGCCACTCACTCTTGGTTCCCCATCCTAGCCCGGGGCCCAGCTCTGATCAGGTGATCAGGGTCTGCTGGCCAGGGGGAGGGACCATAGGAGGTTGGCTAGCCAGAGGAGATTGGCTGTGGGAGTGCACTGACTACCAGGGGGCAGCTCTTGCATTGAGCATCTGCCTCCTGGTGGTCAGTGTGCATCATAGCGACCAGTCATTCTAGTCATTTGGTCATATTGGTAGCTTAGGCTTTTATATATATAGATTGTTATTCCTCTAGTGTCTCGGTCCATTAGTATCATTTCTGTGTCATAAAATAAAGGCTAACTCTCAATTCACCTCCTCCCGCCTCAGCATGTCGTGTCCATATGTTACTTTAATTGAATTGGTTAAATTATTTGAAAGGCAAACATACCTCCTGTCTGGTTGTAAAAAAGCAAGATTTTACTTATGTCTGAATTGCGGCTTTATGCCCTGTGTCAGCCATTTTAGGTAGGTTCTCTGCTGATACTCAAAGAAGTATAAAAGTAGGACTCTATAAAGCCCTCGTGTTACATGTTTTTATTTATTTACTTATTTAGCCTGGTTTATATAAGTTTCTTCTTGAATCATTAATTAGAGATGAGTAGGATACTTTTGTCATTATCCCTCATCCTTTATAATAAGAGGCTAATAAACAAATCAACCAAACAGTGGGACGACTGGTCACTATAACATGCAGTGAACACCAGGAGGCAGATGCTCAATGCAGGAGCTGCCCCTTGGTGGTCACTGCACTCACATGGGGAGTGCCGCTCAGCCAGAAGCGGGCTCACGCCTGGTGAGTGCAGCAGCAGTGGCAGGAGCATCTCCCGCCTCCATTGCAGGCAGGTGGTGAGAAATGAGGGGTCCCAGACTGCAAGAGCCCTGGACTGCGAGAGGGATGTCTGACTGCCGGTTCTCCCGTGAGGGGTCCTGGACTGCAAGATGGCGCAGGCCGGGCTGAGGAACCCCCACCTCCAGTGCACAAATTTCATGCACCGGGCCTCTAGTCCTATATAATAAAAGGGTAATATGCAAATTGACCCTAATGGCAGAAAAACCAGAACGACCCATCAGCCAGTCACTGTGAGGCATTCTGACCACTTCTTGGTACTTTTCCCTGGGGCTCGGGCCTATACTGGCAGTCAGACACCCCTCTCACAATCCTGGACTCTGGCTTCTAATCGCTCACCTGCCTGCCTGCTTGGTTGCCCTAACTGCCCCCTGCTGCCGACCAGGTCACTCCCTACTGCCCCCTCCCTGCCAGACTTGATGCTCCTAACTGGCCCCCCTCCCCCCCGCTGGCCTGATCATTCCTTACTGTCACCCCTGCTGGCCTGGTTGCCTCCAACTGCCCCCCTCTGCCAGCCTGGTAGCTCCTAACTGCCCCCTCTACTTTCCTTGTTACCCCCAATTACCCCTTCTGCCAGCCTAATTTCCCCTGTTTGCCCCCCTGCTGGCCTGGTCACCCCTTACTCTCCCCCTCTCCCCCACCGTCCTGGTCACCCCAACTGGGCCCCCCCTCTGCTGGCCTGCTTGCCCCCAACTGTCCCCCCCTCCCCCCCGCTGGCCTGGTCACCTCTCACGGCCTACTTTTCAGTCGTTTGGTTGTGCCTTACATTCTCTGCTGGCCTGGTCATAAGCAGCCATCTTGTGAGGGTGTGAGGGTTAATTTGCATATCACCTCTTTATTATATAGGATTATATATTTTTTTAGCATATAATCTTTGTTAAATATTGTGGGTCTGTTTTTCTGCATTTCTTGGTATCTGCTGAGTAATGATATGAAGTTAGGATTTCTTGTTAATATTTAATGTGGATTTGCTCATTAAATGTTAAATCACATACCTAATTAAAATATTATATAATACATGCTTACTTGATTTTGCGCCTTTGAAAGAAGGATTAACCTTAGAGATAGAGGATGTTCTGTTAAATGTCAGTTATAAATGGCTTTTGTATTTCTCAGATAAGAAAATAGTAGAAACAGTAATCAAGTCATTTAATGATAGAGGACTCTGAAAATGGATTTCTTAAAGCCCCGGGATATTCCCTTCAGAGCCATTTCACAAAGCCCTATATGCATATTTTTAAAAACTAACTGGTAAGGGTCCACTTTAAAATAAAATGAGTTACGGTATAAGAAATTGAACTGTCATAAGTAATTGTGTAGTAAGTGGAGTTGTAATTATTTTAGGAAAAATGAAACAGAACTATTTCAAGATGCGCATTTATTATTGTTGCAAAGATGATGACATATAAACTT